GAATAATAAAGTAACTTACTTTTTAATAATCATTCCAACTTTTTCTTTAAAAAGTTTATGAGTTAAAGGAATAGCTCTAGAAGAAAGAGATTTGGTCCAATCTTTTAAAATAGTTTCTTAGGATGAAGATAAAAGTTGAAGAGACGAATGAGAATTAAAACAATTAGAAATGCCTTTAAGTCTTCTATTGATGGAAAATCTTGAAACACCAAATTGCTTTATAGTAGTTGATTTAGAAAGAATAAATCTAGCAGAATTAGGATAAGTACCAGATACTAAAACTGCCTAAACAGCTTGACTTAGCTTAGCCTCCTCTATATCAGAGAGGGCTTTACTACTGGTAATAGAAGAGGATTTAGAAAGCTTTCTAGCTATAAGAAGCAAAGAAGAATAAAGGATTTTGAAGGGAAGAGAAGATAATAATGAAAAACTTCTCTTCTTTTTTTTCTGTACTATGTCAGTTGCTATGGTGATCACTTAATACTGAAACATATAACCTCCATATGTTTTACAATGTTTTTAACTATAAAAATTGTACTAATAAGTAATATAGTAGATTATAGTACTTTTTATATATATAGTTTTGATTTAATTATGATAATTTTAATTCTTAGTATTTTCTCTTAAAATTATAGAATATTATAGAAAATATGTAAAGAATACTAGTACCAAATTTTTATATATAGTTATAATAGTAATTATTGTAATAAAAATTTCGTAAGTTATAACTATAAATTCTGTATTATAGAAAATAGTAAAATTGGACTTAAAATCGTATTCTTAATAAGTAGCTTAATACTTAACTATTAATTATATAAAAAAAATATAGTGACTACATATAATATAGTACTCATTCTAAAAATTTCAGCTACAAATAGTGTCTCCTTAAATTAATATTAAATGTGTTGTGTGTGGGAAAACTTTCTGTTCACTAAATCAGTGCTGATCATCAAAATTCTAACATTCCAACACTAATATCTCAGCTTCAACTCATTGTTTTTTGCTCAAATTTCGTATTTAAGTTATATCTACTGTAGGCTACCTGTATGTAAAATTTCAAGAAATTTTACTAAGAATTGAGGGGGGT